TAATTTTTATTTAAGTTTTGGGTTCGATTTTTTTAAACCTGGTGGAGCTCGCTTATGTGAGGTAAATATGCATTTATTTATAACTTATAAGATTTATTTGCTTATATATTTAGTATATAAACGATATTAAGTTGGCAGAATTTGTTTTTGAATGCTTGTTTTCGTCTATTTTTTTTTTTTTTTTAAATAAGTGAATAACTTTCGATGTTACTTGAATTGTGCAATTTTAACTACGCACCAAATATAGAAATTTTCATTGAAAATTTTATTTATTAAGTATATATTTATAAAAAATATGACTTTTAAACAACATTTATTGATTTGTTTAAAGTGTTAATGTGCAATAAAACCAATAAATAAAGGCAAGAGATTGGCTAAATAAGTATTCGCCAAACTTATTTCATGATCGCCAAGTTTTGTATTTACTTTTAAGTATTTCTTTTTGTTAAAATCAAATATTTACCTGTTTTTTATTGTATTACTTTTTCACTAAGAGCAAGTAGTTACTTTTTTAATCGTGGCTCATTTAAGTCAATTTTTAGTTATTTATGGTAATATATCGCCTAAAGTTCAAACAATATGTTTACATTTATCATAAAAAATCTATTTAATATGCGATCTTTAATGTATTTTTGATTGTATCAATGTTAGTTGTTTTTGAAATTTTTGTGTTAAATTGCTGAAATAATTAGTTTCTGTATCAGAAAATTTCAGGGGAGTATGTTTAAAAATTTTAAACTCTAAATTTTTTAATGTGATTTAATTTATGTATTACTTAGTTAAATAAATGTTATGAAAATGTGATTTGAAATCAGATGTTTATTTAAATAAATTATTTAAAAATTTATCATGCTTCGTTTCTTTCCCTATCCATAAAACTTTAGTTTCTATTTATTCTGTTAATTCTATTTATATAATAACTAGGAGGGTCCGCCCCCTGCTCGCTAACGCTCGCCAACCCCCGAGAAATGCTACGCAATCCTGTGTGGTTCACGCCGTGAACAATGATTCGCTGCGCTCGCTCGCCAATGAACAAAATGTTTTATCACAAAGACATAGTATATTATCATCAAAGACATAGTATTTTATCATCAAAGACATAGTATTGTACTTATGTAGAAGAATTCTATCAATGTTCTTATTGGCTTTTAAAAAAGTATATTAGCTATTTAGATTGTACATGGTGAAAAAATCAAAACATTAGCTAAATGAGAAACATATTAGCAAAATAAATTATCAAATATTGCAGTTACTCACCTAAATTCAACTAAATGTGTATAATAAATTAGTTAATGCTAGAAATTCTGAAAGTTTTAGAAAAAAATTTTATTATTTAAAAATATAAACTTTAAACCCTAACTTTTCCTTGTGAGATAATAACCCTCAAAAAGTCTTTCATTTTCAAGAACACAAAAATTTGTTTTATCGCCAAATGAAATATTTTTTGGTGATCAGCATTATTGAAATCAATTTCTATATTAATTAACATTTGTGATAAAGTACATAACATTTCAAAACAAAATAAGGATGTTTTACATACTTTAAATTAAAATGCATGGCTGTTAGCATTACCCGAGAAAAACCACGTGGAGGTCACCATGCTGCATTTCTAATCGGGGAGTTTTGATTTTGGCAGTTCCCCTTGCCTACTGCCTATAGAAGTTTCAATTAAATTTTTTCGAAAAAACATTTTTTTCTGCTAAGCTCTAAGAAATTAACACTAAGCATTTAGAATTTCTTTGAAAACACAATTATATATTTGGCATCTTGGAGCAATTACTGAAAGGCTGTCAAATAAATGACTTAACTCTTGACAGGCCAACATAAAGTTGTCCATGACTAAAAACTTGCTTAGTCTATACTAAACTGATTTTCTCAAAAGTCTGACCTTGTAAGCATTACAATAACTACATTGTTCCGTCATTGAGCCAATATTATACTCTTCGACAACTACTGTTACATCTTGAACAGTTATTATTGCACTTGATCTCTGCAATCTACGTCTTCCATAACATTCCTCAACACTTTCTTGGGTTCTTCGAACACGTTTTCTTTTATTACGTCTAAAAGCCCGGGAAAAATATACTTGAGGGTGCCCCTTGGCGAAATTGGCGACTTATGTTTGGCGCCATACTTGTTTGCCCGGAACGCCGTGGTAACCCACAAACAGGACATTTATATCTATTACTAATTAAACCTTCATTCATACACCAGTCAATCACTGTTTTTTTTCATTGTTATTAAAATCGTACAGAAACTTAAGATTTATCTTATTGACAGTATTCATTTTTAGTACCCAAAGCAAAAATAACCTTACCAGCCGGTATCCAAAGTAGAACTTACGGATCTCTGAAATTACATTTAATAATTCATTTAAAAACAACGCTAAATTCTAAACTAATCAGAATCACGATTAAAATATAAACCAATCAGAATCACGATTGGTTTCAACATCGCCCAGCTTGGCGATCAATCGCGATCACAACTTGGCGGGGGCATCCTCAAGTATAGTCTACACAAAAATTTAATGCATTCAATACAAACACTTAGACGTTTAGGTAGCTCCCAGTAGAAAAATATCAATTCAACAGCGGCCTTTTAAAGCATTCTCACTTCAATTAATTAATTAATTCCTAATTGAGTTTAGATTAAGTATTATCATGTTTTTAGGGCATGAATTGGAATTGAACAACCTGATAATGCTTACTCTGGTTATTGTTTCCGTTTTTAAAAGCGCTATATGTTGAGCCACCTCAACTAGATTTGCCATGTGACATTTTTAGCAACAATCATTGGTCGATTTTCTAACGTTGCCATTCGGGGTGTTGTAATGAGGCTTTTTTTTTGGTGCCGTGTAAGAGAAATATATATATATATATAGATAATGGCTAAAAATCTTAATTCGTCCTGTCTTTTTATGTTTTAAAGAAAATTCAATGTCGCAATTTCAGATTAATTCTTGATTTTGAAGCAAAATTTATTACTTCTCACGATTGTAGATATTTACATTTAGAATATTGCATGATAAATTTAATTATTTCGATCGTAAAAACATACTTAAAAATATTTCAGGCCAAAGCATGTTTTTTTATTTTAGTTTTGTTAAAAAAAATCTGAAAAAGAACTGGAAAAACCCAAATCTAACAGAAACATAAAATTTTGTGCCAAATTTACTTTGAAATCATTTATAAAAAATATTGATGTAATTGGCATGTAGCATATACACAATATTTTTATTTAAGACTTTTAACCGGTAAAAAAATTCGGAGTGAATTTGTATAAGCATAAAAAAAAGTTTTTGAAAAACAATTTTAATCGATGCACGCTTTTCTTTACTGATTATTCTATAATTCAGGTTAACGCCGTTTGTAGTGATAAGTTGCCAAATCTTGTAGCTCTTCATTAATATAGGAAAAGCTTTTGTTCCGAAATGGATGATAAGTCGGCCCCTCTAATTCAGGGGCTCTCCGTACAACTGGTTTTAATGGTGATTGGCGCAGTTTTAATAAGGAATTTTACTGCGAATTTTCCGTAATGTCTGAAAATATTTTTCCAGTATTAGCACAAAGTAGTGTATTAATATTTTAATGAATTAGAATGAAAAGAACCTTTACTAACTACTACTTATAAATATTTTAAGCAATGTATCAAGATCACCCAGCACATAACGTTCATACTCTTAAATCTTTATTAAGGGGTTATAAGAATTTTATTTGTTTTTAAAATTCCCGCTTTAGTTTGCTGCCACTGATAAATGCATTTGGCACAAAACTCAAATATTGGAGTTTATGAAATAGGTTCAAAATATACTGATATAGCTTAAAAGTATTAGACTGATTTATTTGGCAATCATGTAATTATCAAATCTGAATACTGAGCAGTTTTAATATAAATACTGAGGAAATAAGTATGTTACTGCTTCTCGATTGGATAAATACCAGAGGAAATTACTTGAAAGTGGTATATGAATTGCTCATGAGTTGACCACGAGCAACAGCATTATGCCAAGTGATCTTAAATAAAGTTGATTATAATTTTAATAGGATAATATGCTAAAATAATTTTTTTCTTAATTATAAACGTAAAGCAACCGTGAAGGGCAACAAATAATAATAAATAAGTAAATAATTGGAATTTCTTTACCTTTAATAATTGTTTATTGCATTTAAATTTTTTGCATGATTTCGTATGCTCTCAGTGATGATTTATTGATTATTTTCTTTTTCTAGTCATCCTACAAGAGGAATGCGCATCTAGCTATTATTTTACAAAAGTAAATGCATATTTCTTATATGATATGTTTTCTAAACAGTTCAAACTATTTCTGAATAAGTGATATATGATGATGATCTATATAAAACTTGTAATGTTATACTTTTGGACAAAGGTTTGATAATTATAATATTATTTGTCGTATAATTTATTATTTAAATTAATATTCTTGGTGTTTTTAAAAGTAGTGCATTTTAATTTGTCGAAAAGTAGTTTTTGATAAAGCATTAAACCGTTCTTCGGTAAAATATTTCGTCCGATATTCTCCAGATTTTTGACAATAGCGCCACTTTATATTAACTAATCCAAGCAGAAGCTCGTTTGTTATTGAACCAATTTCTGGGATCGGCACGATAGCGATAACGTTAATCAACCGATTTGAGCAGTATCGTTAACTTTTAGTCCCTAACCTTTTATAAACATCAATTCATAATGTGTAATACCGAGCAGTGACACTTAATCTTAAACAGACAAAAAAAACATCAGAATAGAGTATCTTAATTTAGAGCTAGCTTTTTCTAATTAGTCATAAGAAAAAATACGTGATCCTACTGCAAAAGTGACCGCCATGATTATCAAAATTAAAAATCGGACGAAGCTTGCTTCAATAGCGATATGAGTTTATTGATTATGATATATTCGATATATATATGATTTATTGAAACGGCTGAACAGATACTCCGTTCTGATAAATCACAAGAAAAAAGAGCGTAAAGAAAACTAAAGAATTTAGGAAACATAGATATTTTTGGCTTTATTTTTCATTATTACAGCATTATACATGCTTTCGTGACTTATTGGAATTCCAATAAAATTATATTTCTTCCCCATGCTGTATAAAACATTTAGTACATAAGTAAGGAAATTTGTGAACATCTGAGCTAAAACACAATTTACTGTTCATAAAATGTAAAATCTTAAATTTTTAATAAATTGATTTTAATTGATTTCGCTTTCGCCATGGTGTTCTTGTGATTTGCCAATCCGGGGCATCAAAGAAGCTCGTCTTCCAATTCGTGGAATGAAAGCTCCTCTGCTTTTAACTTTGAATCTTGGGTCGTTCCTGCCGATTCTTGGAATGAGAGCAGCCCTGCCTATTCTTGGTGTAAATGCAGCAGCACGTTTGTCTTCAGGTTCCTCATAATCTTCATTCGATACCCTTTTGCCAACTCGAGGTACAAAAGAATTTCGGCTTCGGCTACTGGGTCGTCGGCTTTGCCTGAAGTAATAATCTGGCTCAAACTCCTCAAATTCGTCAAGAATTGCTTTGGCTAACTCATGCCTATTTTGGCTTTCTTTTTTCCCATTGTGTTCAGAATCGTCGTCACTTAGGGATCGCTTTTTTCGACCAAGCCTTGCTGTGAATTTAGGTACGCTGTCAAGGAGATCTGTCTCTTGGCTAGTGCTCCAAGAATAATCTGGTATGTAAGTAAAATCGTAATCTTCGTCAGTAACTCTACCCGTTCTGGGGTAAGGAATAAGAGTTTGTGGAAGCTTTAGCATTCTCCGTCCTGGTCTAACATAGGACAGCACTCCACTTGATGATGGATCTTCTAGTAGAGACAAGTATCCTTTGTTTTCATTTCGTAACACTGGATGAAGTCCATGAGGGTGTTCCCCATCAAATAGTTCATAACCTGCGAAAATTTATAAAAGAATATTACAAAATGCTTGGATGGAAACATAAGCAATAATTCATTTCAATCTACTTGCACGGCCTCTTAACTTCAGAACTAAAACAGTTATAAGAAAAAAAACGGCATCTTGATAAAATTCGATGACCAAATTCAAACTGTAAAAATTTTCCGATCTACTTTTACCGGAACATGTTGAGGAACAAAAAAAATATGCTGTGCCATAATTTTTATAGTAATAATCACAGTAAAATCACTGAATCATAACTAAATAAATGTTACTGTTAATGTCGTTTAATAGTTTACAGTAAAAATGGATTTCACAGTAAAAAGGATTTTACGGACCGAAAGTACCGGTTACTTGTTACATCAATTTTTTATAATGTATATGCCGAATAGCATTAATATGCCATTATAATAAATTTTATGCAGCGAGAGTTTAAATTCAAAGATTTTTTTTTAGATTTATTAAAAAATAAGATGGATTTTTACTATTTTGTAAAATTTTCTATTATACTTACAAGAAGTACAAAAACCAATCTTAATCCTCAAAAAGTATGAAGATATGAGGAAAAGGTAATAAGGGTCAATATTTTTTATGTATCTGGAAGTAGAAATTCAGCATTTAATGAGTCATAAAAATCCGAAAGCGTAAACTACTTTATCTCCGTATATAAAATCAAAATTACTTAGAATGGGAATCTGTGTTGAAATATAAAGATAGTAAAATCAGTTTTAATTGAACCAATTATTTTGTTTAAAACTAAAAAGAGCAACTTACATCCATTATAAATAAAACTAGTTGAAAAATAAAGACATAAATTACTTAGTCACTCATTTATTGCATGTCATTGGCGTAGAATAAATATCAACTTTAAACAAAGTGTTATTGTTGGTTTTAAATCTGATGTATGTACTCGGGGTTTAAGTATTGTTTAAATTATTTGCGTACTCTAAAAATTCTTGTTAAAAGCAAATGTATGCAGTGCTTTAATCTTTAAGAAGTTGTCAAAGAACAGGATGGAGGGGATTAGAGAATATTAGCCCATACCTCTACGTCCTAAAAAAAGACAGAGAAAAGGTAGGTGGATCAGTACTTGCCCCATGTGTGTAATCATAAACAAGACGCATTGTCTTTGGTCTTTTAAACCCCTTTTATTAAGAAAACAGTTGGTATCTGAGGGGATTAAGGGTATTGCTGAAGGCACCCTGCTGACATCTGTTGTCTGCTCATTTTCTTTTTCCATGGATAAAACTTGGTTGCAGTGTCTTGATATCGATTAAGGAACAAAACGCTCAATTGATCCTTCAAAGGACGTGCCGAAAATTGCTTAAATAGCTGAACGATTATCCTCAAGGAAACGTGTATTGTTGAAGTTTCGTTGTTTTTCTGTTAGCTCCTCATAAAGTTATTTTCATTTAACTTGTAAACAAGGTTGATATAGAAATTTTATGATTGTAGCTTTATAGGTTTACGACATAAAATAATATTCTTTTCAATTTATAAGTGTTAAAAGTTTCTAATTTCTGTTGGAATTAGTTTCCTTAGTAAAAGTATTTAAAAATGGTTGATATTATCTCATGTCAATGAATATTGATAGTAAAAAAAAATGTAATACAGCATTTTAATATACTGCAAGAAAGAGGATGCGAAATAAGTTCATAAAAGTGGGCACAATGTTAGCACCATTTTCTTCCCTATAAATTTCAGTATTTAATTTCTTTTTATATAGAAAAGAACAATAATAGATAAAAATACAACATTTGCAAAAATTTACTCTACAAAAATTTTATTTCTTAGTTTCTCCCATATTTAAATCTGTTTCATCTGAAAGAACATTCTATGAAAAATTATGTTTGCTCATTCGTTGTATTTATGAAAAGCATAAAAATTCTTTAAACATTTTAAATGTTCAGTGATTAAAATAACTATGAAATGCATTCAAAAAGTCTGCTGAATTTTTAAAGGAAAGTCAAAAAATACTATAGAAGTCTATTTGTAACAACAACAAAAAAGTAAAATCTGAAAGGAATCTTAAAATTTTGATGGAAAATCCACAAAAATAGCGTTTTCTGAAGCAAATGTAAAGATTTATATTGGTAGGGATGTGGTATATTAAATTTCCAAAAATATGTGTTCATACACAAATAACAAAAGCATATTACCTAAAATAAGTAGCACACCGTAAAAATTTACCATAAAAGAAATAACGAATTGAAAACCAAATTGGTTTAATTTCAATAATAAAATAGAGCACTAATACACGGTATAATTTCTGTCAAATTCGAAGATCAGAAAAATTGCATGCATATATTCATTTTATAACACCCATTAGAACATTTATCCAGAAGTAGCTATCACGCATAAAGTTCTAGCAACATTGTTGGGTATATGGCTTGAGCATTCAATAAATCTTATCTTGAAAACTCAAATTCATCCCTAAGGTAAAGTTCATGCGGAATGAAATTTGAAAGCCTTTCGAGTTACTATTAAAACTAACTTTGGAGTCCAAGTTCATTGTATAAAATAATAATATACAGGCGCGCTCTACCAAAGAACGCTTCGAAGTAAGCTGTTTGTAAATAAATTTGTGCAATAAATCGCAAGTGTACAAGATAGACAAATGAGAAATGTTAATTAATTTGCAATGATTAATGCGTAGGTTAGGATAGACTTGCTTATGTCAGTATATAATAACAATGGTAACACAATATTATAATACCAATATAAGATTTCAACAAAAATTATAATAATGTATTATGATTTATTTAAAAATCACATTCTTGTAAAATGAATCGATTAAATTAGTTATAAAAAGTCGATTGAAGAATAATTAAAATTAAGAGGATCTGAAATAAACTGTGCAATAGTTAAATAAATAATTATTTAATAATGAGAAAAATTCTAGTTAAAGGAATTTTACCGACATGTTATAAGATATCTATGTGTATGAATAGAATGATTAAAATTTTAAATATAAAAAAAATATTTGAATATATTCCGCATGAATTTAGTATTTAGTATAAAGTTATTTAGTGTAAAAATATAAAATAATTAACTACATCTACATATAATTCACAAAGTAATTAAATTACATTTCAGAAGGGGAAAATGTTTTACACATCAGATTCAAAAATGTTTCAATCCTGGAAATACACATTACTGCACTGAATTATTTTTGAAATATTCTGCTATGTTGAGATAATTCTGTTAAGTTTGGCCCATTTTAGAAATGTTTCTTTGTCGAAATATTTCTCAAATATTCCTACTATAATCAAAGTATTAAATTTCAAGAACAACTTTAAAATAACTACCAATAATCTGTTAATGCCAGCCAAAGTGAACCTTTCATGATACTACTTTGCTGAAATAGGTCTGAGAAAGTGTAATATTTTTGGCTAAATTTATTACTTCCGTGAAACGTAAATGTAATGTTTTTTGCCTATACTTATAATAAGTGCAATGATTATTCTAAACTGAGCCGTTCTCTAAGGTTTAAGCAATAACACGGTCTGAAATTTAAGCTTTGTCTGTAAAGTTTAAATTAAATTCACAAAAAATTTTGAGTTAAATTGTAATTCTGTCTAATGACAGAAATTTTAAACATTAAAAAAAATTTCAAAAACTATTTTAAATATTTTTTTAAACAAAAAATGTCAATTTATGATGTCCGAGTTGATAATTGATTTTAAGCTACTAAAAAAAAGTTTTAAAAATAATTATAAATTATTAAAAAGAAAATCGATGCTCAATCGAAAGGTTACTTGATAATATAATCAACAGATGGCAGCACAAGATAATCGATATTTCAGGCAGCGAAAGATTTTTAGAAAAAAGGAATCGTGTGTTTTGATGCGTGTCCAAATGTAACGATTATATTAGCGCTATTATTATAACAGCAATAAACTATTGCTCTTTGTTAATATCTTTTTGCAAGCAAAATGTCATTTTCTTCAGGACCATTCCCACAATGACCCCAACACTAATAACTGTTCTCGTGAAATTTATTGTTTATGACGATTTAATGCCTTGAAATTTAACAATAAAAATAATTTGTTCATTTATATTTATTTTTTAATTTGTTTTTTTTTGTTTTTTTGCAATATTGATTTTTTTAAATAATTATTTTTCGTAATTTAGTGAGTATTTAGAGTATATAAGTATCAGTTGAAATCAAAATTAGCTTAGTTAGCATTAAAGTTACCTTATTAAAAAAAATGACTACGAGACTATGACTATAGAGTGCAAGTTTTAATTTTATTCTCATTTCTGTATAATGCATATTTAAAAAATAAAATTAAAATTAAACATAGAACTAAAATAGCAGCCTTCGAGCTCCTTTGAATTAATGCATATACTAGAAGAATATTTATTGTTATATATATATATGTTTTTAAAAATGAAGAATCAAAATTTTCAGCTAAACAAATTTTTATACAATATCTTATCCAAATGTATACAAAACTTTATTTATGCAATTATTATATTGTTTTGTGGACTAAGAAAAACTAATTACACATTTTTAAAACAATTAAAATATACTAATTTTTTATATATTTTTTTCTACTTTACTCACTTGGGAATCTTAGTTTATTTGCATTTTAATTTCAAAGCTCAAAATGTTGTTAAATTCGCATCCAACTTGTTTCCGTTAATTGACAGAAAAATAATCGATCGCAAATAAATTAATGCGCACAGTTGTTTAAACTAAGTGTGTCTTGTTTTGTTTTATTAAAGCTCTTTCAACTGGTAGTTTAAAGTGAAAAGGGAGCGTAAGTTTTCTTCGAAGTATTGGCGTGATTAATTTAAAAAGGTCACTTGGGCCTAGTATGTTAATTTAAATTACGTTATGGGTGTGTTTTATAAGTTTGAAGTAAAATGCCTTAACTTATTATAAGTAACTCGCAAAATGAAATGAAACTTTAAACTATTAAAACTCTAGCAAATATTCAATTATTTAACTATTCAATAAAATTTTACTCTTGATTTGCATCATAATCTG